TTTTCTTTCCTCTTCTTCCACACTGATTAAATCTGTAAAGGACACGGTCTCCATGCACTTAGTTAATACTAAAGGCAAGAATTGACCGGATCCATTTGACAACACAAAGATGCTCTCCCCTCAAACTGTGCATGAAATATACCACAGGAATATTTCAGCTTATTAATTTGAGGGACGACTATATATTTTTACAATGCTTTAGGGACCTCTGGAGGTACAGTCCTTAGAGAGCTGTATCACTAACCTAAAAGTGGCACCTCTCTAGTGATTAGAATCCACAAGCTGCTCTAAGGCAGAAAAATGGCCAATCTTCTCCCATTTGATTTATAGCTTCCAAACACCAATGGCAGGTCAGCTATGAGATGGTTTTGACTCAATGGCAATGAGTGAGTCTGAATTAGGGTTTATATTCTGTCTCTAACATAAGAACTATAACAGAAAGAATATAGGAAATGATGTTTTAATCTCCCTTATTAAAAAAAGTAATCATCACCATTTAAGTAAAAGAAAAATCACCTAGACTTATGAAAAAATAATTATCTATGTTGTCGTTAGGTACCCTTGAGTTGAGTACAACCCATAGCGACCCTACGAACAACAGATCTGAAACCTGTCCTGTCCTGGGCCATCGTCACAGTTCCTTATACATTAGAACCCACTGTGGCAGTCACTATGTCAACCCACACCGTTGAGGGTCTTCTCCATTGTCAATCTACCTTTCCAAGAATCATGTCTCTCTCCAAAGAAGAGACCCTCCTAGCTACATGCCTGAAGTAAGTAAAGCCTCATCATCTACCTCTAGAGAGCACTCAAAGAGGGCTACGCCCTCTCCAAGACATATTTGTTTGTTCTTTTGGCCATCAATGGGGTGTTGCCTGCTCTTCTCCAACACCACAGTTCAAAGGCATCAACTCTTCTTCTCTCATCCTTCTTCACTGTCCAGTTCTCAGATGCATGGAAAGAGATTGGAAAACCCAGGGCCTGAATCAGATCCATCTTAGTCCTCAAAGTGACATCATTATTTCTCAATAATTTGGAAAAAATATTTTATATTATCAATAAAATATCATAGCACTGTTGTTGTTTTTTGTGCCATCATGTTGGAACTGACACATCGCTGACCCTCCAGCAGGTTTTCAAAGGCAATAAATTGCATGGAAGGAGACTGCCCATCCTTCTCCCATGGAGCAGCTGATGGATTCAAAACACACACCTTTGAAATTGCAGCACAGCTTCTTACCACTAGGTCACTAGAGATCCCTCATAATACCAGTATGTTAAAAAAATTACCCAGTTCTCCAAATAAAACACTTCTGAGAAACAAAAATGAAGTGGGAGGTATAGCACTCCCTGACCTCAAAACCTACTACACAGTGCTAATAACCAAAATAGCATTGTACTGGTACAATGACAGGCACATAGATCAATGGAACAGAATGAGAACCCAGAAAGAAACCCAGCTATCTATGGTCAACTGATACACAACAAGGAAATAAAACCTATCAAGTGGGGAAATGAAAACCTCTTCAACAAATAGTGCTGGCAAAACTGGACGGCTACCTGTAGGAAGCTGAAACCAGATCCACATCTCACAACATATATAAAAATGACCTCAAGGTGAACCATAGACTTGGGAGTAAAGCCCCAAACCATAAAGTTCCTAAGAGACAAACTAGGATCAAGCTTAGAACCCTTAGCCTACAGTATAAACAGTCTGCCAAATATAGCCGGAATGTACAATCTGAAGAAGATAAAACTGATGAATGAGAACTTCTAAATACTAAATCCCT